TTTGTTAAAAGATTAGTCACATTGAATGCTAATTACTAAATGTGTTTGGACTTTTCAAAAATGTACGTACATTAGTAGTTAATAATTCATTTGTTAAGCCCTGGGGAATTTTTTTGTGTTACGTAATTGTGAGGCAGTATGTGGTCAGTAGAACATAGAATTCTGGGACAAGTTTGTAATTTATCGTGAGCCGATGTGAGGGGGAACAAAAATTACATTGAACGTGGCACCAGTAATCTGAAACTTGCGTGGATTCAAATAAGAAAAAGTGGGTAGAACGTTTAGAAAGAATTCTTTCTCATAGTTTCTCCCTGCTGGGATTCAGTGTTTAACTTCGGCTTTTGTAGATTGAGCCGCGCCTAATGTTTTGACTTATCCGTCGTTTCGACACGTATTAACAGTTGCCATCCTCAGGGCGGATGTGAGTTTTTTTATCACATCTTATCGCAAATTGGACTGAGCAGAATGTGCCAAAGACGTCAGACGGAAAGACGGAAGAAAGGGTCTCAGTGTATCCGGAAGAGGCAAAGGGCTTAAAAAGGTAAATGTTAGGTTAGGTTCGATCCCAGACGCAAGCTAAACAGTCTTTAACCCTTTGAAGCCGAAGATCGTCTGAATATTATTTATGAATTCCGTCCGTACCGCGAAGAAAACACTACACCTCACCGTTACGAAAATCAGCTGGTTAACCCTTTGAAGCCGAAGCTCGTCTTCATAATATTTACGAATCCAGACCGTACCGCGAAGAAAACACTTCACTTAACCATTAGAAGTCGAATCAGGCGGTACCACATAACATTTAACAAAAGAACATCCCGGTCAAAGCCTTAAGAGTCGGGATCATCGGACCTAAAAGGGAACGATGGGAGATCGGATAATACAGAAGACTAATGGAAAAGTCCACCATTTGCGTGGAGGAACGGAGGAAACCCACGATAAATTTCCCCATGTATAAGCAGGTCTCGAGAGGAATCTTCCAGCTTTTGAAGAACTTTTGTGTGTCATTGAATACAATTATCTTCACGAAAGAAAGTTATCTATCAGCGATGATAAGACGACAGATTTCAGCTCGGGTAGCAAAGATTTGGGATAGTGATATAATTTAAGGGAAAGTAGAGATAAGGGGGCCCAACATTGCAAAAATGTAACCAACAGACTAATAAATCTGTGTCAATGTCACTGACGAAAGCCTGTGAACCCTCATGAGAGCTGGTAGGAAGTCAAAACGTTTTACCACTGCGCTGACCTGATCTGTAACATTACTCCGGAAGCTGTTGAGGATTTTAGGGAACAACCTGTGAATCTTTGTAAGTGCCTAAGGTGTACAGGTTGTCCCAAAAAATATGTGTACGCACATTCAATTAATGAAATAAAGTCACAATGGCATTTCGTGAATTAGACAATTGTGGCACATTTGACAGGGGTGGCCACGAAAGTTGTTAAGTCTGGCGATCGTACTCAGCTGATTCCTTGCGTCATATCCGTCGGTGGTGAAACGTTTCGTCAAGATCGACCGTGACATCACGATTGATGGGGGGGGGGGGGTCCTATTCCTGATCGGAGAACATACGTCTTTGTTCTCGGGAAATCAGCCGCGTCAACTGATTACCGTAATAAACCGACGTTTCGGGAACTCTGTCCCCATCATCAAGGTTGTGATGTGACTGTCGCGACTTCCGAGGGCTACGTGGGTACCTCAAGGTGTACGATATTGGGTCCTAGCCCGTCGGTAGGTGGACTCTTATCTCGGGTTCAAACCAGCCAATAATAATTCGGATCGAAGTTTGAAGTCACTACTATTTAATAATGAAGTTACAGAAAGAAATTATAAGTTTATAAGATGTGTAGTCTAGCGACTTCAACCGAGAGTGATACCACATTAATTTTCCCTGGCCCAAGGGTCCCGGGTTCGGTGCGAAGAACCGCCCTCTCTCAGACCACACAACGCGATCTCCCACACTTGGTCCTAAATGCAACTCTCTGTCTGTAGTAAACAGATCCCAAACACGCCTTTCTGCTCGCGTAGCATAAACACGACTTCTAGCTAAGCAACTATTAGCTTCTCAAGAAATACTCTGCTCCAGAAACTTATTTATTATTTTAGTGTTCTGTCTGACGATAGGTCCATATGAACAGGATCCTTCCATCCTTTTCTCGGACTGGGACCTGTTCATATACGTTCTTGGCAGATGATCCAGAAGTGGTTTGCCATTGCCTTCTTCTGTGTGTGAATGGAGTAATTGTTGGGATGCCACGGAGGAAAACTCCGTGTTGCCTAGACCACGGCCTTGCCCAACACAAGTTATAAATTCGGGCACCGCCGGGAATCGAACCCGAGACCCCAGGATTACAAGGCCAGCGTTCTAACCGCTAGACCACCGTGGCTATAACTTCTGCTTTACCGAAGATAAGTTGTACTACATAATTTGTGATACTTCTTCAGATATTTTGCGCCTAATTGAACGCCAACAGTTTCGTGTATCAGATTGTGTTATCGCTTATCATGTCCGCGTTGCAGATAAACCAGCAAGAACAAATACTCGTAATTTGGCAATTGATACACACGTTAACATTAAACGTCAGATCGTCGGATTCAAAATCTTGTGAGACATCTAAACTGTTCGTGTTTTTGAATCATGTTCTTCCTCAGTAATTCGGGATGGATTCGATGATTATGAATGATAACAGGCAGATATATAGGAGGAAACGTCCTGTCTACTCTAAGGTGGTACTGCCATCTCTTGGAGGAACTGAGGAAGAAAATAACAGTCTGGGAACCGAACCAAGATCCCTCCGCCTGACTGCGGGTCAAATACATTGTCGCTAAAGTAACCTGCTGGCAATTTAATAAAAAAAAACAATGTTTTTTTGAAAGGGCCACTTGTCGGTCACGACCTCGTATTCTTAAAGCAGTCGCGCCATTCTGTTTTGTTGATGTCGAAACATGACATCTGTTGGCATAACTCCGTGTACTAGAAGTGATGAAAGGTACCGCAAGATGGCAGGAACATACAGCTATCGATTACACATTTTAGTATTTTATATCACGCGTCATGTGTATCGACAAATTTTCATTACTCGTGTTTTCAGTTATTATCTTCACTGTGTTAGGCTGATTTTATTCCGTAACTTGGGATTCGTTGTGCCAGTAATTTTTTTTTTTTTAGTTATTTGATAAGAATTGCACAACCACAATATCCAGTTGCCAGCCTGTATGTAACACTTTATTCGGTGGATCTTCGTGTCTTGGTCGAGCGAGGCTTCGAGCGCGGATGTCCTCACTCTCTGCTCAGTTGAAGGCCGATGGTTACTAGTGGAACCTTGCCACCAAGGTTACTAACGTACGCTTACTTCTCGTGTGGAGGGCAGTCTTTAGACGCCTGCTACTAAGGACTTGTTCACGAACAGAACTGATAAGCTACACACACACGCAATTCAATAGATCTCCGTTAAGTTACTTTCTGATGGCTTGAAAGCACGTTTATCGTTTTTTTATGGCTTCGATATCGTTTTTAATAATATGATATTTAATGTTGAATGTTTAATTTTGTGGTGAGAGGGTATAAGACTTGATTTGCTAAATAAAAACATGTAATGTAGCTTTGAGGATATAACAAAAAGAAACGAATCACTTCGAACTGTTTTGCCCAAGACTTTTCTCCATAATAATATAGTTCAGACACTCGCTTATGAGTGCGCAGGTGTCCTCAAACCATTTTGAACTTATTTCAAACACAGATTTAGTGTTTTAAAGCTAATTACCTTACATACTTCATACTCGTAACTAATTTCTGACTTGCGTTACATATTTGGGGGTATAATATTAAAATGAAAATTTGGAAAACAGGGTGGAGAGGTTTTATAGGATTCATCTGGCTTTCAGTGACTATCAGCTTGTCAAGGACTGTGCTCATTTATGTTACATCGCATCTTTTATCAGATTACATTTTATGTCGTGTGAAATCGGTATCAGCCAATATTGGAACCGATGTGGACCCGACAGCTTTGAACCTTTGATGGAACCCTCTGCGGTTTGGACATTTTTTTAGCCGTGTAGCTCGGTCAGTATAGCGACTAGGCTACGAGCTG